CACGCACGCACGCACACGCGCACACACACACACACACACACACACACACACACACAACGTCTCAGCGAGCGCACACCCAGCGACAGACAGTTCACACGAATCCACCCCCGACCTCCACTCGCCCCCCCCTCGCAAACAGAGTGTCCACGAATCCGCCTGTAACAGGGGAGGCTTCGTGGCGAGGTGCGCAGGCCATAAGCAAATCAGAATTGAATCTAATTTAGACTCTTGATAATAATGCGTAGCGTATTTAAGCTTTCCCTCCCAGTCGCCGCGCAAAGCCCTTATCAGTAACACGCGCGCGCCAGTGACTCCCGTGTCGCCTTCTCGTCAAATAATGATCCGACAATGGCTGGATAATTACCAGCCACACCGCACGCACGCACACGCACGCACACGCACGCACGCACGCACGCACACACACATATCTACTTGTAGCAGTCTACCGGTTAGACGCATTTTTTTATAATAATAAAAAATGATTCTCTGAGCAGCGGCCGCCTTTCCCTACATTATGATATTCCAAGTGTTTATCGAATTATATTCTCTATATTATTATATTCTATATAGTGTTTATTAAGTCATTATAGAATAATGCTTTTAGTCCTACGAGCTGCTTGTCGTCCGGCAGCCAACGCTCTTTCTCGCACCGTACTCTAGATAGGTTTCCGCACCTAACCTAATCTGCGATCTGATATCCGGACTCTGTGCAGCCGGATTTTGAACTCAGATTCTCTCACAATGGTCCGATCAGTCGGTGACATGAAACAGTTTTCACGGAAGCTGCTGGATGGATTATTATCTATCAGACGTAGTAGGCCCACTAGATTTTATCAGGATTGTCAAAACACAGATTATATAAGCTGCGTTCACACGAGGATTTCAGTACCGTACGCTGGCCGCGTATTGTCTGTCGTGTGAACGCAATTTCGAATTGCGAAACTGCAGTGCGCTTACCTAGACTGGTACCCGTTCGCTACACGACGTTAGTGTAGCGTGTAGAACTGTCGACCGGGTACCAGTCTATATTATACCTAGCCAGCTAAGCCTCGATTCTGGGGGAACGCTCCGGGTTGTCTTAGCACGGTATTTCAGCCGAATTCAGCACCAGATAACTACGGCCCCAGCAAGGCCGTGTATATCGTGTGAACGCAGCTATAGACGTCTATATTATGACACTCCTGGTTTTATTAGGTGGCTAATCAAGCTTCCATGCGGTTGCGATGATTTATTAGCTAGCACTGACCACGCGATTGCAACCGTCGCAGTTGTGTCGGATTGGTAATCGCGTGACTACGCCATCGTAATATACGACAAAGATAGCATGAGTGCATAATGGGGTTAGCCGCTAGCTTTGTCAGCAGGTGGCGCAGCGGGAGTTAGAGGTGTTACAACGATTGCGCAATCAACCGGTCAGTTGGAAAGATACAGGAATCACGAATAGCCGATCGTATCGTCATAGCGATATAACCAAGTTAAAATGCCTTAGTAAAGTCTGCAGCGATCACTTCAGAGAGGCTGACTATACTAGCACACTTTTAAGTAAGTGTAATATCGAAAATAGCTTATAAACATTAGTTATTAGCTCATTTTGACTTTGAGGTTTGCAGTAGTTTTCTTGCGTATTCCATGCAGTCTAGATTATAAAAACAACCATACACGTGGACGTGCACACGCACGCACGCACGCACGCATGCACACACGTGTACCTGCACACGCACGCACACACGCACGCACGCATGCACGTACATGTATGCCCACACGCACACGCACGCACACACGTGCACTTTTACACGCACGCACACACGCACGCATGTGTACGTACACACGCACGCACGCACATACGTGTACGTGCAAACGCACGCACGCATGCACGCATGTGTACGTGCACACGCACGCCCGCGCGTACATACGCATGCACGCATGCACGCACCTGTACGTGCAAACACACGCACGCAAGCACACACGTACGCATGCACGCACGGGTA